TAGTGTACGTCTCGGATGGACCCTGCTTTCGTGAGTCGATCTACTTCGTCGTTGACGGCGTGGGCTTTTTCGAGGCCTAGCTTACGGCGTTTTTGTTTGATCGGTTTGAAAGTAGGATCTACATTGAGCTTGTGAGTGGTGACGTTTGGGTCTATACCCTTCATGTCGCTGGTGGTCCATGCAAACGTTTTGACGTTGCTTTTCAGGAAGTCGATTAACTCCTTTTTAGTTTTGAGAGGTAGCTCTGATCCGATGTTCACTTGTTTCTCGGGGTCAGAGTCGTCGATGCTAACTCGTTCGGTTAGGTTCCTAGGGGGACCTCGAATATTCTGTTGCATCTCTCGACTTTCCTGGATCTGTAATTGCTATCGGGGTGATTCCTTGAGGATTCCGAATCCTATCAAGTAACAGATCCTGGAGATCTTCTGGCTACCTCGTACGGTGGTTATTCCGTCAGGTGTCGGAAATTTCACGCATTGGTGATAAGTGGAGGCTACCGCCTTCATCTTATGAATCCAGGGTCTTCCTAGGATCGCGTGAAATGGGGAGGGTCTGTCGATGACTAAAAAATTGGTCATTTTCATGATTCCTCCAGCTATGACCGGGAGCTTGATGGTTACCAAGGAGGTAACTGTTTCCCCGGAGAAGCCTACAAGGTTAGCTTTCTGACCAATAATTTCGTAGTCATCTATTTCCATCCCTTTCAGAGCGTTATAGAAGATGAGGTCGACCGAGCTACCGGTGTCAACCATCAGCTTATGCACCTCGTAACCTGCTATGTTCAGGGTGACGATTAAGGCATCATCGTGAGGTCTGTCGAGATCTGATGTCTCGCTCTCCTATAAAGAAATCTTAGTATTGGATTCAGGGTTGGGAGGCTTAGATTGAGCGTTGCAAACAGCCCTCCGTACGTGACTCTTGATTGAATTAACGGAGTCTTGACATATATCGGAGCCTCCGAGGATATAATCCACCCTCGAACTGGAGCTCGATTGAGGTGGTGGATTGCTTAGGAGGGTCTCGATTTGTAGACTTTTCCCTTGGGGAAATTTCCCAAGAATCATGTCAACTCTTTTCTTGGGAGCTGGCGGTGGCGAGTCTGTTTCATTCTCAGGTGATCTTTCGCGTTTCAGAGAGGTATCTCTGGGACCTCTTTTCTGGTAAGGAGGTGGTTTTTTGAGTTCCACGTCCTTCAGTTTCCCAACTACGAATTTAGCTGCCAACTGTCGTTGGAGGTCCCAACATTCCTCAGTTGAGTGCCCTTTTCGATCGTGATAAGAGCAGTGTTTGTTCTCATCGTAGCCTTTTGACCAAGGGGTTTTGCTTGTTGCGGCAACAAGTTTCTCCTGTTGGACTTCCTCGACAGCATAAGAATGTTCTCCCTGGGTCTGATTATTCCGGGAGCTCCCTTTTCTGGAAGATCCTTTTGCTTCCGAGGTTTCACCTTTTGGGTGACTCTGGGATTTCTTATGGATTTTATCTAGCGCAGCTGTTTCCTCTTCCAAGGTAATATATATTGACGCTTTATGAAGGGCATCATCGATAGTTGGGGGAGGATTAAGCGTTAGCTCGGACCAGAATTCTGATTTGTACCAGAGACCTCTTCTAAGGGCTTCGATGGCAACTTGATCGTTGGGATTCGAGAGCTTAGTTCTGACTGCTCTGAATTTCTCGATATAGATTCGTAACGAATCTCCCATTCCTTGCCTGATTTTCCAGAGGTCGATCTCGGAAGCTTGCTTGAGGATATGGGTCGAGTACTGCTTCATGAAGGCATTGGTGAGCTGGTCGAAGTTATCTATTGAGTTCGGCTCGAGGCTCGAAAACCATTTGAGAGCTTTTCCGACCAGGTTCTCGGCAAAGGTTCTGCAATAACCTGCTTCACATTCTTCTCTTGTGAAGTGAGCTTTCACTATAGCTGATCGGAAGGCTCTCAAATAAGCCTTAGGGTCCGAGGTCCCATCATATTTGGGGATCCTAATCTTTCGGGTATCTCTTATGTAAGAGCTAGCGATTTTGTTTGTGAATGGGGTTCCACGGGTTTCTTCAATCAAGCTCTCGATTTCGGGGGCTGAGCTTGTTGCTTTGTGGACTTGAGCGTTCAACTTTTGGAGAGCTGCGTGAGTTTGCTCCATGTATCAGCGGATAGCCTCAGGTCCCTCTAGGGGAAGAACGGTTGGGTCGTCAAGATGAATCTGATGGGGAGATTCTTGATGGAGTTGAGTATGGTCGTTCTCCCAAGCATTAGGTGGGCTAAATCGCACGCTAGCTCTAGGGCCATTTTGAGGGATGCGACCAGGGAGGTGAGCTGTAGGATCAGCTTCCGTCCTCTGGTGGCTGTCTCGGTTTGGGATCTCGCTCCCAGTGTGATAAGCAGAAGCTGATGCTCTTCCCCTAAGAGGGAAGGATATTCCTTCTCCGGACCTGAAAACAGGTGGTGGAGGAGGTAAACGTGTGCTTTTTTCGGGAACCCTGTTGGGTGCAGAGCTTGTTGTTTGTATGTTACTTCCCATAGCACTGGTTACGGGTGGACTGAATGCTGGGGTTGTTCCAGCATGAGGTGTCCGGAGAACAGATTCTTGCCCATCTTGAGCAGTGCTGTTGGGGGAAAAGTCCAGACGTCCGCGAGGGAAAGTAGGTTCGGTCAGTCGGTCTCGGAAGGTGACTCCCGATCCTTGACGTTGCGACAGATGAATTGTCTCAATTAGAGATCTAGTCACCTCTTCGAATCGTTGCTGCGAGCAGTTAGCTGTTGCAACGTGCGCTCATTATCATGAGCTCTTTCTACCAATTGCACCATCATTCGACGCATCTCGGATAGTTAAGCTTCCGAATGATTCAGAGCGGGTTGATGCTGAGGGTTTTCGGGGTGTGTAACCCCAGAGTTGTTTCCACTGGAAGATCTTGGGTTAGTTATTCCAGTTTGGTTCGGTTGAGCATTAGCCGTAGGCTGTTGCTCGGATCGGTGATCGGCGGATCGAGGTTCCGGATTCTGAGGATCCGGGTCTCTCCTGTTCGGTGAGCCGTCGATCTGGATCACGGGATCAGGGATAGATGGGCTCGTTGCCTGGTTGGATGGATCCATTCTAAAGTTACGGAGTGAAGGATTCAATTATCTCGTCCCCACAGACGGCACCAAAATGTGAGGGGTAAAACTCACTCTCTAGTTTAGGTTAGGTTTAGATTGGGGAAAAGACAATCGTGGGCGAATCCTGTTAGAACTTAAAGAATGAATATGATTGTATTGATGAATAAGGGTTACAAAGATGATTAAGATGAATACAACGAAATCGCTGAATGACTTGTGAGTAATAATGTATGTGAAAATTAATAGCCAAAAATCTCTCTCTTTCTTCTTCCTCTCTTCTCCCTTTAAATAGCCCTACGTCACGTTTAACTTCTCCCAATGAACCTCCGAGATTGCCTCCGTAAGTTGTGGGATTTGCAACAGCCTGACTTTGACTGAATCGTACGCCTTTTACTCTGTATCCTGAGCTATATTTGTTAGGTCCCCCAAAAGAGAAGTCGGACCTCTTTTCCGTGACCTCTCTTCCGTGACCTCTTTTCCGTGACCTCGTTTCCGTGACCTCTCTTGTAAGAATCCCCGGAAACAGCCTCCCTCTTTAGGTGAGCTTCGATCTGTCTCGAAATGATAACTCAATTGCAGCCCATCATTAGGCTGGATTAATTGATCTGCTATTTTTAGCTAATCGGGCCATATTTGGGCCCAACAGAAGCCAGTCCCAACATGTTGATTATAGATTATATTTGGCACCTGAGAAGAAGTAAAGCTTCTTAATTTGAAGATGAAAAATATTTAATTGAGCAATATGAATACAATTCATTGTTACATTAGTCTAAGTTCATGAATATGTAGCAGATTCCAAGGAATGGATACTTCTATCGTAGGCCTCAACCGTTAAAGCAAGCATACATGATTTTCCCATGTCAAAATATCACGGAATATGAGTTGAAAATGGAAGATTTTATATTTAAAATTTCATAACAGGTCCTCCATTTGACTTTAAAACAGAGGCTTCTTATGATCTGCTCTCATATTTAATTTAGTAGAACAATTGATCTTCCTCTGCCTCACCAACAGGATTGTACCTGCTACGGTGTAACTACAAAAAAATTGAGAACATAGATCCATAGATTATAAGCGAAAGATGACAAAGAAGATAAAAATGAACAAAACCCGCTTCAAGCTCAAAAGAAAGAGAATCTTCAAAACCAATAAGGTATATGAGGATAGAAGCAGCATGCTGAATCAACAAAGCAGAAGCGCAACAATTTGAGTATCAACGAACCCGTTTCCTTTTTTAGAGTTTGTGAGTGTCATGACAAAACATTTTCAAAGAAAGCGGCTTTGATCCCAAAATAAGGAATCTTTTCAATTAGGTACTGGCTTAACCATAGAAACCGATCTATAGCCATATTTGAAACGAAAAAATTTAATTTTTGAAGCTAAGATAAATATATATCTAAATAAATGAGCAATTCTTTTAAAATATTATGTCATGAATTCAAAAGAGAACATCAAACACACCCAAAACTGTTATGAAAAAATATTTGTACAATCTAAATGAGAAAAGTAATACAAGATAATCTGACAACGACAATAAGAGTAGAAGTCAAACTAAATGATCTAAATAAGATAAACCTATCAAAATATGCACATTTCCAAAATAAAAATAGTCCAATAAATTTTAACATTATCTATGTTTGGTATGGAAGTAACTAATAGTAATAATAATATGAATGATATGTATTCAAATATACATACTCAAGGCTGAAGCTTATATAATAAGTGAGCCAAACTGAAGTAACTCATTATCCGCTAACTTCAGTTGATTGAGCTAACTCATTTTGTATTGCCTGATACCATTCAGATAAATCCGGTACATGGAGATGGTTTACCTTTAGTTATAGGGGTAGATTATTGCAAAGATCTTTTAGAATTATAAAACAGATTTAATCGAACCCAAGAGTGGAGCTACTTACTGTGATGAATAATTCTGCCTCCATATTATAGCGTTCTCTATAAACGCATCTATTGCTGAAGGATTTTGGCTTGGAGGTAGCTCAACAACATCGCCAACTTCATATTTGATACTCTTTAATGTGGAAAAAAACAAAGATGAACGTTAGACTTCACCAAAGAAGAGAAGATTGATTGAACCAACGGCTTAAAAGTAAGTGATAGCAAAGTTACTTACAGAAGAAGAAACAAATCGGAACTCCAAGTTGTGGACATCCTTTGTGCTTCCACCTTTTGTCAAAACTTCATTTCTAGTCTACATTGCTTGGAATGTAAATGTAAGCTAACGAAATAAAATTTAGGCTTACCAAAAAAATCAGATATATTAAGAAAACATCTATTCCACCAGATTCAAGGTAACACAACACTGAAATAGCATAACCAAAGAGGTTGCATCACTCACATATAACATAAAAAAAAATCATCATACCATCTTTAGGAAGCAGTCTGGTTTACTTTTATCCGTTGATAAATTTTTGGTTGACACTCCACGGGCTCTTTGTATAATGTCTGCTAAAACATAACATACATATTATGGAAGAGAAGTTTCCCAGAACATGTAAAGTGCTACCAAACGTTTTCTTGATGCAAAGGCGATTCACAAGTCATTTGAATCATAACATTTAAAGTTATTTTCTATTTTGATATTTCTATTAATTACCTGTTGAATCTTAATCATTTGAAGTCAAATGCCTAACCCTATGAATCCTTTTGGTTAAACTGTTTGAACACTTAGCTTGTTTTTTCCATTGTTTTGGTTAATAGTTATCTTAATTATAAACTGTTACTTATCAAATTGATTACAATGATTACACTTGGATTAAGTTGTATGACTTGCATTCTTAGTGCTTAGAATGGTCTTAACATTGGATTGATACTTCTTGTACTACAACTACTTGAGAAGCAAACTTTATCCTTATCATATTAATAGTGTTTAAGCCAATGGAAATTGATGTCTAATGCTTGAGTAGCATACGAATTATTGCTATGGAAATAGATTAATCTACTTGTAATTGTGTAGACATATAAAACATATATGATAATCGTATGAGCACTCTAGATTGAATCTTGATCATCTTAATCAGTGCCCTTGCCCATGAATCCATATTTAACGCTTAATTAAATACGTGTTCAGTTACATTGCTCTTGTGAAATTGATTTCTTTCTAGTTACTTGATACCACTCAACTACATCTGGATTGTTTTGATTAGGCAAATGACTGTATTCTCATTGTTTTAAACAACTTAGGATTGTATTGACATCCCTGATACTACCTTGACTATAAGATTGAATTTAGGGACCGGTTCAAACTTAGCGATTACGAATGTGGTTGCAGGAGTTTGCGGATGTTGGTGGTTGTGATTTCTAGATTTATTAAGCGATTTATATGACTGGTATAGCGGTTAGAAACTGGTGCGTTTGTGGGATGTTGTGAATGGTTGATTATGAGATATTGCACCGGTTTAATAATAAATGATCAATAATATTATATTATAACATTATAAAAATATCAAAACATACTATTGTGATCTAATATAATAATAATTATTATAATATAAATAATAATCTTATTATGTTTATTTAATTAATTATTTAATTTTTATGAAAGTTATAATTTCAATAAATTTTCTTTTGAAGATTTATATTAAATTGTTAACAGAATATTTTTTCGTTTATGTATGAATATATATTTATATATGTATAGTGAATATTATTTATTTAAACTTTTTATAAAATAATTTACGATTTTGATTGTGAACAAAATTAAAATATATGATGTAAAATGTATGTATATTTATTTATAATATTTCCATTTTATATTTTATTTTAAATTTTAAAATATTTTAGAATATAAGTTTTAATTTATTTATCCACCCGCAACCACAAATGCCGGCGAGAAAGACACCAGTTTTTTAATTTATTTAAGAGGTTTAAAGCGATTGTGAGAGATTTATGGCTTTTTGGTGATTGTTGCAAAAACGTCAACAACCATTACCAACCGCAAAAGTTGTGTTTACGAGTGGTGGCGATAAATTAGTCATACCCTTAATTTTTATCACCAAGACGGAAGCAATACCATAGAAGAAGACAACTGATGAAAAATTGTGTAGATTTGAAATATTAATATTCTATTTTATTATTTTCTCTTTATAGAAAAGACTAGTATAATAAAAGTGTTGCACAAGAGTTTATGGAAATGAAAGTAGTTGAACATGCCAATATTATTACATAGGAGGTTTACGGCAATAACACTGGTTTAGGATACACGCATAAGCTTGTTCACCTTTCGCCTTGCAAACGTCAATGCAAGCAGCAACACCACAGTTCGTGTCAAGTGGTAAAGCTCTGTGTTTTGTATCGACGCATTTACAATGGTTGTTCTCACATTTGATCTTCGTTACACATTTCATATGAACACAATCAGAGACATTTTGACAAGATTGTGCTAGAATCTGAGTGCCTGTTAAAGTAAGACATGATAATATATATTGTTAATAATTAATATGTTCATCATGATGGACTGATGATAATAACGATGGTGAAAATCAGAAATATATAATGGTGATGAATAACTAATATATGATTTAGGATGAACTTACATGTTGAGAAAAGTATAAGACCGATGAATATGAATGCTACTTTCTCCATTTCTATTATGTAAATTGTATTTCTATTGTAATTATATGTTGTTTGTGTGACTTACGTGAATATTTGAAGACTATTTATAATTGTAGTTATAAACAATCTGTTATGCTAACTGATTTACTAGTCAATATTTGTATTTTGTTTTAATAAAAATTTGATTTATTTCCATTCTATCGTCTATCAGGTATCCTCTGATTTTGTTCTACAACAACATTTTATACGGTATCTGACTGAATCTTTATTTTTAGGACTGTAATTACTAGTTTGGATGCCTCAATTTTGACGAATCTAAGATAAATTTGGAAGGAAATCGCTTTTCGTCTTGAGAGAAAGACTACACAAGACATTCAAAGCTGACTAAAGTTGAATAAGGCAAAATATCTTTAATGAATAAATAATATGTTTGACACTAGCACTGCATTCTTGATCATATAATGAGGAACATAAACATAAAACTAGTACTAGATAGAGAGAAATGAAATGCTGAATATGAATTCAGAAGAATAACTGGAGAGTCTCCTTGCCCAGTAGTGGATACAACAAAAACAACATCTTCCTTATGAGGTAAACAAATCTGCAAGAGTTTATTAAAGAAAACACTTTTATACGAGGATAGAAGCAGCATGCTGAATCAACAAAGCAGAAGCGCAACAATTTGAGTATCAAAGAACCCATTTCCGTTTTTAGCGTTTGTGAGTGTCATGACAAAACATTTTCAAAGAAAGCGGCTTTGATCCAAAAATAAGGAATCTTTTCAATTAGGTACGGGTTTAACCATAGAAACCGACCTATAACCATATTTAAAACGCAAAAAAATTAATTTTTGAAGCTAAGATAATTATATAACTAAATAAATGAGCAATTCTTTTAAAATATTATGTCATGAATTCAAAAGAGAACATCAAACACACCCAAAACTGATATGAAAAATATTTGTACAATCTAAATGAGAAAAGTAATACAAGATAATCTGACAACGACAATAAGAGTAGAAATTAAAATAAATGATCTAAATAAAATAAACCTATCAAAATATTCACACTTCCAAAATAAAAATAGTCCAATAAATTTTAACATTATATTATGAAATTTAGCTAACAGAAACGAAATTAGGATTGAATATCATAACATCAAACAACTTTATCTATGTTTAGTATGGAAATAACTAGTAGTAATAATAATATGAATAACATGTATTCAAATATACATACTGAAGGCTGAAGCTTATATAATAAGTGAGCCAAACAGAAGTAACTTATTATCCGCTAACTTCAGTTGATTGAGCTAACTCATTTTGTATTGCCTGATACCATTCAGAAAAATCCGGTACATGTAGATGGTTTACCTTTAGTTATAGGGGTAGATTATTGCAAGGATTTTTTAGAATTATAAAACAGATTTAATCGATCCCATGAGTGGAGCTACTTACTGTGATGAATAATTCAGCCTCCATATTATAGCATTCTCTATAAACGCATCTATTGCTGAAGAGTTTTGGCTTGGAAGTAGCTAAACAACATCGCTAACTTCATATTTGATACTCTTTAATGTAGAGAAAAAACAGAGAGGAACGTAAGACTTCACCAAAGAGGAGAAGATTGATTGAACCAGAGCCTTAAAAGTAAGAGATAGCAAAGTTACTTACATAAGAAGAAACAAATTGGAACTCCAATGTGGACATCCTTTAAGCTTCCACCTTTTTTCAAAACTTCATATATAGTCTACATTGATTGGAATGTAAAGGTAAGCTAAAGAAATAAAATTTAGGTTTACCAAAAAATCAGATATATTAAGAAAACATCTAATCCACCAGATTCAAGGTAACACAACACTGAAATAGCATAACCAGAGAAGTTGCATCACTCACATATAACATAAAACAAAACAAAAAAAAATCATCATACCATCTTTAGGAAGCAGTCTGGTTTACTTTTATCCTTTGATAATTTTTTGGTTGACATTCCACGGGTGATGTCTGCTAAAACATAACATACATATTATGGAAGAGAAGTTTCTCAGAACATGGAAAGTACTACCAAATGTTTTCTTGATGCAAGAGAGATTCTTTTCACGAGCCTTTTGAATTAGAACATTTAAAGTCATTTTTCTGTATTGATATTTCTATTAATTACCAGTTGAATCTTCATCACTTGAAGTCAAATGCCTAACCCTATGAATCCTTTTGATTAATCTGTTTGAACACTTAACTTGTTTTTTCCATTGTTTTGGTTAATAGTTATCTTAATTACAAAATGTTACTTATCATTTTGATTACAATGATTGCACTTGGATTAAGTTGTATGACTTGCATTCCTAGTGCTTAGAATTGTCTTAACATTGGACTGGTACTTCTTGTACTACAACTACTTGAGAAGCAAACTTTATCCTTATCAGCTTGATAGTGTTAAGCCAATAGAAATTGATGTCTAATGCTTGAGTACCATACAAATTATTTCTATGGAAATAGATTAATCTACTTGTAGTTGTGCACACATATATAATATAGATGATAATCGTATGAGCACTATAGATTGAATCTTGATCATCTTAAAACAGTGCCGTTGCCCATGCATCCATATTTAACTCTTGATTGAATACTTGTTTAGTTTCATTGCTCTTGTGAAATTGATTTCTTGCTAGTTACTTGATAGCACTCAACTACATCTGGATGATTTGATTAGGCAAATGACTGAATTCTCATTGTTTAAAACAACTTAGGATTGTATTGCCATCCCTCATACTACTTTGACTATAAGATTGAAATTTAGGGACCGGTTCAAACGTAGCGATTGCGAATGCGGTTGCAGAAGTTTGCAGATGCTGGTGGTTGTGGTTTCAAGAATTATTAAGTGATTTATACGACTGGTACAGCGGTTAGAATCTGGTGCGTTTGTGGGATGTTTGTGAATTGTTGATTATGAGATATTGCACCGGGTTAATAATAAATAATCAATAATATTAGGATTTTTAACATAAAAACCCTCAAGAATGTTTGATTTGGGTACAAACCCCTCAATTAAAAACGTAACACGGAAAACCCCTCTCCCTCCTCCCCAAAATCAGTTTTTTAATGAATTCACCCCTCTGTCTACAATGACGTTAAAATTTGTAATATGTCAGTAAGTCAGAAACACACTGTTTCAATATATGACCAAAAACGTCACAGCTTTCATATCTCTTTCCTTATAAGCCTCGCTGATTTCCGCAGTGAAAAGAAAAACAGGCTAATGCTACTTCATGACCGTTGTGGTTAATTGTGTTTTGCGATAGTGATAAGTTGTTGGGGTCAAAATCGGTTACGACGGAATAAACGACCAAATTTTTTTGCAAAGTTAAGAATAAGTTTATAAGAATATGAAAAAGCGTCGAGAAGAATTATAAAGATTTTACGAACAAAGGAATTCCGTAAACTTAACAATCGTCATCATGGAAATCATCGGAAAATTGAGTAAAACAATCCACGATTGTCCGACTGGCAAATTTAGCCTTACACTCCACATGGCCCAGACGCAAGGCATACGTCCCTCGACCCGACCGTACTCTGAACCATGATCGGAACATCTCTCATTTCGTCTCGATCCGTCTTATCGTTGGAGTTTTATGATAAAAACCGTAAAGGACTTGTTTTCTCGTAAAAACTCGAGTAAATTGTATAAAACGACAATGGTTAAACAAAACACCAGAGATTGCCAAACTATATGATTAACTCGAGATTTTTTATTAAAACGCCATCGTATCACGGAACAATCTCGTCTAAAGTCGTAAAACGACAAAGACACAAAACGGCCCAAAAAGTCCTAAAACACGATAAAGGCCCATACGCGACTTTAGACGAAGTCCATTTATGTGCAGGAAGAAGATAAATGTTAAGTTCAGAGAAAAATAGAAGTTTTCCAAGATAAAAATGGAGAATGGAGAGAAATGGAAGATTTCCGAAAAACACGAATCAAGGCGGAAAAAGAAAGGCTAAACCGCCTAGGAGAGGAGTATATACGCACAAGGTTTAGGAAAAGAAGAAAGGACCAATTTTTCAGAGCTCTCATCACACAGAAAAACTTAGCATTCAGGCAATTTTCCGTTTTTGTTATCGAGTTGCGTCTCAACTAGGGTTTTATTCTTAGGTTGCTAGAACTGGAAAACTCGCCGTCAGCTCTTGTATCCAAGGATTTACCTCGTTTTACCGCTCTTACACTGATTCGGAATAAGAAACCTCTTTGCTCTCTATTTTGATTTTCATATTGTTTTTACTGTCATCCTCGTGTTCTGATTGCTTGGCGTGTGGTTTAGCAGATATCCGGGGCCTCTAGGAAATTAGGGTTTTCCTTAAGTTCCTTAACTCATGGAAATCAACGGTGTGAATTTCGGTTCCCACATAAGTTAAAAAGAACAGGGGCATATTCAAAATATATTTAGGTTGTGGAATACCTGGGACAATATGATCTGCAAATAATGTTTTGATGTTTTTATTTTCTTTCGAAAATAATTTGAGTTTTAATAATATTTGATACAATTTTGATTATATAGTTAAAATACAGTAAAATTTAGTTATAGTAAAAGGGCAACATTTTTCTGAACCGCTTTGGGCGCCGGACGAGTCCGGACCGGCACAGGAAAAGTGTTGGTACATTTGTTGTCATGGTCCTTCACCTTGACCCTAGAGACAATCATCGTTCATCTTGGCATCCACGCCGGAGATCTCGCAGCAGTCACATCTCAAACAAGCGGTTGCGGAGTACTCACAAATGTCGTCAACATTATTGCCATCGCCGACAGATTCTTATTTTTAAGACTGTTGACTTACATATCTATATGCTTTTTAGCATTCATATTTTCACCTTAAAAATTAGAGTTGTTAATATCTATACCATCCTTAGTAAAATTTTTATATACAATTTCTAATATAATTAAAACGAGTTTTATAAAATAAATATTAGATTAGTATGCTATTATCTTAGATAATTGATAATAATTAATACAATAAATGTATGAAAATAAAAAATTCA